TAACCAATTGGGCCCATTGGAGAATTCCCAGATTGAGATTAAACTTTGGTGGTTATGTTGTTCGCCTGATGTTGGAAGCTTTTGAAATGTTGAGTGGCTATTTAGTTAAAGAGAAAGGATAGCTAAACAGATAGCAGAAGCAGCTTTGAAGATTTCTGGGTTGTTGTGCCATGTAGTCTGGTCGATGTTAACCAGCGTTTCAGATGTCATATCGCCTCCGTCATCAGGGCAATGACGAAGACAGTATGACCTCTGAAATGTCGGTTTACATCGACCAGGCTACACGGCGCAACAACCCAGAAGACAGAAATCTTCATACTCACAGCAGTGAAAACCTCAAATCTTACAGAAGCAACTTTGATTGTGAATTGTTCCAACAGGTGACAAACTTCCCCTTGTTCGGGTACTATTTTAAAATATTTATTTATGAACATGTAAAAATATAAATAAAACATCCTGCATTTATTAACAAAAACAATAACCGTTTTTTATATTTGCTAGTTTGTTTTATAAATTGTTGTTCAAGTGGAAAATTTTTCACAGTTTCTATTTTGAGAGGTATTCGATCTATTTATTCTCCATCTTCAAACTTTTTACTTCATCTCTCAAATAATCTGAAATAAAGACTGTGACAGCTTACCCCTTCACATTTTAGACAGTAGGAAATTGCCATCGCAAGACAACCTCTGCCGCACTATAAATGATATGACTAAAGTGACCATTCTACACTTTCTGCTGCTGTCTGTGTGGCAACTTGACAGCAGCAAACTGAGGGGAGGGGGAGACATTACAACAGCTTAAGCCAGTGGATGAACCTGAGATGACTTTTCAACACAGCGGGTACCGGTTACATGCCAGCTGATGCTTTTTAATGCACACTGCAGCAAAGAAGTTTAGAAATGAAGATGGCTGTCTTCTGAGATGTAGCACCATATAGTCTGGTACATACTAAATCACCCTAAGGATGGAGGTAATGAGATACTCTGAAACAATGGTCAGTATCTACCAGACTACATGGAGCTGCATCTCAGAAGATAACCGTCTTCATACCTGTCACTGTGAGAACCTTAAATCTCGCCAAGTTCAGAAATGTTTGCTTGTTTCAGTGTCAATATGCTAGTGAATGGTAGTTTAAAATTATTGTCTGTTTGTGCTTTATGTTGTTTAATCTAGTACTTATTGTTGGTTAAGCTAAAGATTGCTCTACTCTAATTATGGCAATTAAATGGAAGTGCTTAGAGTTGAATACAAAGCTAGAAGTAAAAAACATTTGTGCGAAGTTAGTCAGCTTGTCATAGTGAGAGGGAGATGGTATGGATTCATTTTGACATTGTTCTCCATTTTGAATAAGAGAGGTAAAATGCATTTAGAATTAGCATATAATGTAGTGTGTATGTAAGACATGGTTCAATTTTAACTTGTTTAAGTCTGTCAAGCTAAGTTGCATATGTTTGGATCCACTTATTGTCACGTGTATACATGAGCAGTGAATTATTGGTAAAACATGGATGGGACATGCAGCAAATACTGGGCAAATTGTTTACTTGTAAAGGGCCAATAGGTCATTTATGAGAAAATCAAGTTCTCAGTTCAGATGATGCTGAAGGCATCTAGAATGTTGTATTATAGGGTTATTTTCATACCTTCATGATAACCATTTCAAAACAATAAATATTGCCTTACTTTATTTCTTGAACACGTGCCATATTGTGATATACTTAATTAATTAGTAGTATGAAGATTGTGTATAATAATTTTCAGATATTATAAGTGTCCATTAGAATGAAAGTTTTTATGAATTTTATAGATTCTAATTTTATTAAGCTTACATTATATTGCGCATAATCATGATTTCCATCACTGTGAAAGCCTCAAATCTCACAACAGTATACATTATTAATTTCTTACATTTTCAGGCTGTCACTGTAACATTTGGAATTTATTCCATTCTGATACAACTGATTGTCCAGAAATACATTATTTAATTCAGTTGCCATATAACCTTCAAATCTTATATTGCCAGTGTTGGGTGAAAAAAATTACTGCTGTAACTTCTATGTAATAATTCTTTGATGTGAAAAATTGTTCCTGATAACTGATACAATATTTCATCCTCTACCACTACAGGGTAGTTGCATGTGGAAAATTCCAATCGGCAGATGTGGAGGATCAACATAATCAATCCTGGCAGTGTTAGAGTTAGTAGAGCCAAGATGTAAAGCGGTACAGTGCATTTACTGATAAGTTGAACGCAACTGTCACTTCCCAGCCCCCGAGCAGGAACTGCTATAAAAAAGGTAAGTTGATTTTATTGTTCTTATGGAGCGATACTTTTCTTGTATCAGAAAGACCTTATGGTGCTTGGTGGTGAGTCATGCACTTCCAGCCATGAAGTGACAATTGCATTCAACTTATCAGTGAATGCACTGTAGAATACTAAAACAGTTAATTCATACCCGAATATATTATCTGAAATTCTGTACACAATAAATGGCATTTGTTACGTTTTGGAGTCTTATTCCAATGACACAACATGCTACAAATGTGACAAAGGCTGCATGAAACCTGATACAGTCATTCAAAATGTATGCTACCTGCAGACTGCGTAAGTTGCAAGGGCCTCCTAAAAAATTAATTTACATGCATGTAACCAAAGAATAGCAGTCCTTGTGAGATCTTTGTATCTGTTCATTATAAGTACAAAATGAAATAAATTTGTTTTAAATCTCATCATACAGAATATTTTACATCCATTTGTTTGCTGAATTACATCCAATTCTTATAGATATGCTGGCCCCACATTGGGTGTAGCTTTATGAAGACCAGGTTTACCATTTTGAGAAATTCTCTCATGTATCTACCACATAACTTTTGAGGCATGCACGGTAAGACAAATGTCTTGTGTCTAGTTTAAAGGTCCAGATTATCAAATCATCTTCTGCAGTCTATGTAAAATTTGTACTGAATTGCCTAATCTGAAACAATAACAATGATACTGAGGCTGGAGAAAGATGCCCGGAGAATCAACTCCCTCAAGCTGTTACGCTACGTTCTCCAACACACTCCTGTCTGTTCGCTTCAAGCCATCTAGCCATTCTGCTCACAGGCCCTTCACTACCGAGACGTGTCTTGGACTGGCTGACATGGCTGAAGGGGACCTTAGAGAGGGGAATGTTAGCACTTCATGCCAACATCCACACCGAGGCCATGGGACGTCTTCCCATGGCCTTGGTAGAAGACTGGCAGGCTAGTGAACTGAATGGTCAAGTAACTGTTTTGAATGCATTTAGCATGTTTGAAACTTAATATTATTTTCTATTATGTAATTTATATTATATAATGAATGCTAGAAGTTGACACAAAAGTGAACAAGGAAGGTATGGCCCAAGGATGGAAATGGAATTTGATGACCAGCAAAAGAAACAATCCTTTACCAAATGAGCTTTAATTAAATCAGTTAAATCTCCAAATTGCAATTTCAACATTCATTAATAGGAAAACAAAAATATTCCAAGTAATTCAGAACTGACATGGGGACATTTTTGCTGCTTTGTACTCCGAAGTATTTTGGATTCTTATGTTATCCCATTCTAATAATTACTCACATCTTGTCTAATATGATTTTGAGATTTATATAGAATTCAAACCATTGGCACATTGGGGAATCTTCTTTCACCTGGTTAAATAATTCCACTAAACAAGTAGTAAGGAGGTTAGTTTCTTTAGCAGTGTATCCCCCAGTAAACATGAATGGAACATAAAAAATAAATTATATATCTTACTATTTTCAAAATTAAATCCTTCTGAATGAAAAATTACCAAAAAACATTTGAAACAAATCTCAATTTCAAAAATGCAGAACTTATTAATTTCTTCTGAAGTATATTTTCCAGAGGTTTCTGTGAGTATGCTCAATAATGTGTCTCCCATTTAAAATCGTTTCACAAAAACAAGGAAATTGTCTTCTGGGTTAAATCATGAAACTAGTAAAGATGATTAATATTTGTATTACTAATGTTGGGAGGCTACTGTGTACTCTGGCGTATTCGTATACAACGGTGTTTTATATGTAAAAAGAAAAGTTTTTGTTATGTTACAAAATATGTATAGCCATGTCACCTTTATACTTTGAATTCCCAGATGATAGCCTTCTGGATTTTGTGCCATGTAGTCTCTTATAAGATAACCAGAGTTTCAGAGGTACTGATGATGGAGGTAGTACACACCTTTGAAACGTGAGACTAGGTAGTTCATACCCCACATGACTGTCGCCTTCATATTTGCTGCCGAAAGTTCTTGAAACCCCACAATATAAAATTAGACTCAGAACAGAAATTTACTGGGAACAATACTGTAGCCTGAGAGGAATAACTATGTGCTAATGTTAAAAACGATGAAACAGTCGAAAATCCAGCGCGGTATACTCTTTCATTTGACTGAATTTATTTCAAACATATCTTCCTTTACTTGAAGGTTATATTAGGTTAGGGTTTGCCACGCCCTCTTTTCAATTGCTTCACCTTTCCTAGTATGGAACACAACCCATAAGTAATTTAAAACTCGTACACATATTAAGTAATGTTGTTCCTCAGAAATGCACACAATATTTTACAATCGAATGTAACCTAGAGTTCAATTGTATCAGTACAAACACACAACTTTGATCGGAGCAGAACGGTTTGCTATCGAGTATGCTCCAAAAGCTCACGATTCTTGTACAAAGGAATGCCTTCCTGAATATGATGGAAATTAATATTTTAAGTCATCTGTGTTTTGTATCCCTCTGAGAATTATGAAATGTAAAGCGGCTTTTTCGTGCTGTAAAAAATTCCATATGGCTGTGGAGCTTAATGGGTTTTTTGTTTAGCTTCCATATCCACAATAATGATTTGGTTCTGTGGATGGTCTTCATGGCTAAAATCCGAATAACTGGAAGACACGATCGATATAACAAATAATTGATAGTGAGTAGGGAGATTGTATTTTTATTACCATTTGTTGTTAGAAATTAATCATGTCGAGTGAGGAAATAGATTACTCATACAGAAATATAAAATACAAAAGTGGCACATTCGTCTATGATTTCCATAAAGTCGCTGGACAAAAAGGCTAGCTATCAAAACGTCTGTAATCGAGAGTAGTTCTACTTCCGTGAATTCTACGGAAGCTTAAGTTACATCAAAAGAAACAATTGCATCGGCAAATAAACCACTGCTAAGTGTGCCTTCGTATTCAAAGATAAGTGATACAGTTCTGTCACCTTCGATAATACAGTTTGATTCCTTCAACCGAGCTTTCGTTTCATCAAGATCTGATACCCAGGAGTCATATTTTCATGTTTAATTACCTCATTCTGGAGTTTCGTTATCTCGTTCCGCTAGCAAGACAATGCAACAAGAGAAAGTAACTGAATATGATCCTTGTGGCAGATGTAAAAAAATAAAAGAAAAACATTTGAAGAGAATAGCATCAAAACTTGGTCATATTAAACTGTATTGGCCACAACAGCTAATCCCAGATATAGATCAGTATGTTTGTTTATATATAACCTTCACATGTTTTTTCCAGGGCTTGATTTGTACACTTTCCATACATAGATCACAATCCAAACCATGCTAAGAATACAAAATTTAGTGTTAGAAGGGATGTAAGTGTTGAACATATTCATACCCTCTTTATCCCTACCAAATCAAGCCCTAATTTTTTCTTCAACCTTGCTATTTGCTGCTGAAAAGTGTCTCAACAAATTCTAATAGGTACCAGTTAATGAAGTGGCTTCATCCAGTAACATGCACAGCAAACAAAGTGCCTATATTTTAAGTTTTGGAGGAAGAAACAGTGAGTATGGTCATAAATAAATAGTTGTGAAAACTGGATGTCAGGCGAAAGCCCTGTTGACACTTATGGCTACAGTGCCCTGATTGGATGAGTTTGGTGTAGCATGTTACTGAACTAAGTCACTTGCCTGCAAATTATTTTGCATGATCTATCAGACTGTACTCAAAATACAAGTATCATAATTCATCATCATCCCTTCCAGTGTTAGTGTCAGTTGGTCTGTTATGATAATTACAGTATACATTTATTTGATCTTATGACTGCGCTTTACGGGCATCTTATTCCACTAAGTTGATACATCAGGGTTTAATTGTAATGGGTATTATCAGGGATATTTTTTAATTCCTGCTCTAGTTTACAAAATTTATTTGCAAAATTCATAATTTTGCCATTTCTTAATTTTTCTTGTGGTTTCAGAAGTGTATTACATAAACATTTCTTGGAAGTAGAAGCTTTTCTTGCTTAGTAAACTTTGTATACAATAAATATGAATTTCTCTAGAATCAGGAATTAAAACTTAAGATGCAAGGGCCTCTTTGGCCTAACTGGCTAAAATGAATACACTGAAGTTAACTTTCACTTTCACAGCTGCTAAAGATCTGTCCAATTGAGCAAAATTAGATACTTTGATGTGTTTAAAACATCACCAAGTGATAGAAGAAATATGTAGTTGGGCCTATTTATTGGACAGATGTGCATACCTACATGGAAAATGTTGACAATCTTGATGCATTTGATTTGTGATGTATGAATTCAGTGTCCATAAATGTTTTAGTAGTAGACAGACTCACGCTAGCTTTGTAATCCTGGGGTCCCTTGTTCGATTCCCGGTGGTGCCCGAATTTATAACTTGTATTGGGCAAGGCTGTGGTCTAGGCATCACAGAGTTTTCCTCCAGGGCTTCCCCAGTTTCTCCGTGGCATCCCAACAATTACTCCACTCATACACACACACAGAAGAAGGCAATGGCAAACCACTTCTGTATCACCTGCCTAAAAAACATATATGAACAGGTCCCAGTCCGAGAAAAGGATGGAAGGATCCTGTTCATAATATGTCGCCAACCTCCTGTAAAGGAGACGGAGTAATAAAGAAAGAAGACAGAAGAGTATACCAATGGATTGATTCAAATGTAACCACTACAATATTATGTCTATTTTCAGGTGGAAGCACTACCCGCTCTCGTATGTCCAGAATAGCAACAAGGAGAAGCTGCTTCTGTGGTACACTGAAAACTTCAGAAGACAGTATCATTTTGTTCATAAAGATCGGAGACCTCTCTTTCTGGCCGCTCAAAATGAATGTGGGCTGCAGGTAATATACAGTTCTTAGGTTTTTGAAATTGGAGTTCAATGTGTTACTTTGGTTTTCAGTGACAGCCACGTAGAATGTTGATAGTTGTCCAGTGTTTTAACAAAAATTGCATTTGCCACCTTCAGGGTAAAGATGGCAACTGTAGTGTTTGCAGAAATGGATGACCATCAACATTTGACATGGCTATAGCTAAAAACCAAAATTATATGTGTTATATATCACATAACTAGAACTGTTAAATGTTAACTGATTGCAGTTAACACACTTATAGGTACAAGAATTATGCTTTTGTAATCAATACTTATTCAAATGTTCAATCTTGCGTTATGGTCCCAAGGAGTCATAGTTGCCACCTCTTAAATCAAGTTTAATATTACCCTCTTACCTGTTATGCAGTATATTTCTGTTATACCGGGCCTCTCATCCTTTGGAGACACGGGACCACATTCCCCCCTTTTTTGTTGCAAGAACAATTTTTTTTAAAGTTTATGGCAGTTTTTAGAAATGTTACAAACTTTTTTGCAGAACAGCTTGTCATATAACTCACAACATTCTTTAACAAGATCAGTCATTACCGAGATGTCCGACATACAGAATGATCAAAAAGTCATGCAACCTATTCCTGGACATATTCTATTTGCCTTATGTACACTTCTGTAGGATAAGCTGGGATAGCTCGGTCAGTATAGTGACTAGCTACGGGCTGGACGGCTGGGGTTCGATCCGCGATGGGGGCAGAGGATTTTTCCTCTAGCCTCTGCGTCCAGACCGGCTCTGGGGCCCACCCAGCCTCCTCTACAATGGGTACCAGGATCCTTTCCTGGGGGTAAAGCCGGCCGGGGCGTGATGCTGACCTCTCACCCCCATCTAGTGCCGAGGTCAAGAAAGAGAGGAGCTATACTTCCGCTCACCCCAAGCGCCTGTATGGCACGTAGCGGGACAAACTTTACTTTACACTTCTGTAGGGCAGCATAACAATGTTTGACGGATATTGTCCAAACTATCGTCACTTAACACTGGAGGTTGACTGGAATCCTTTTTTTCATGCACGCTTCCTGTGTCATGGAAATGGTTTACCAGACAAGATACAGTCAATTTGTTTCACACAGTGGAATCAGAAACTGTATCCTCGAACTCATTATGACATATTAAGTAAGAACAAGATAACAAGTACTGCTCGACAATAAACGCTTGTTGTACTTGTAAAAAAAAAGACATCCTTGCACTAAGACTGTTTGAAGACAAGTGACAGACTGGCACGAGCAAGTTACAACATGACATGATCTGTACGGGTTCTTGTATAGTCACAGCGATATTTTGCGTTTATTAATCCAGTTAAATTATATTGAATTTTAACCGTCAATAAATTTTTTAATGCATGACTTTTCTGTCATTCTGTAACTTTCATTTCATTAATCTCTCAATATCAGGATCAATATTTTTGTTGTTGTTATTTCATCCATCTCTCCGAGTAGGCCTGTTCATCAGAAATTAATGTTCTAATTTTTCATCATACAGATGACACAGTATTATAAAAAATGTACACAGGTTGCATAAAACATGGGAAGGCTGTTCGTGGTTCATGGGTTGAGAACCCCCATGATTTACCAATCACAGTTTTGTATGACTTACTAATTTCTCATCAATTTAATCATGCACAAATTATGTCACTCGATACTAGGTATTTTTCTCTGTTCCCTTTGTTAGTTCATATCATTCGGATCCTAATACATACTCCGAATGCCCCATTTTCAGATACCATTCTGGACAGTAAGAGACCATATTTTGCAGAGATTAACAACAGATAAACTGCACGCATTCTGAGTATATGTATGGAAAATTTGAAACATCTCTGTACACGGAACTAATTTAAACTTCTGAAAGAGGAAAATATGTGACTGTCACAGGTTAAAACTTATGTCTAATTAGTTAACACTGCAATATAATACGTATTTTTACATATTCTTTTACTGTAATGTAAATTACTTCTTTTGAAGAATGTTTGTCTTTTTATTTTCAAAATCTATCATAGTCTCAGCAAAACAGCATCCTAAATATTTAAATTTTTGTAAGATTTGATGTTTTCACAGCAGTGAGTATGAAGATTTCTGTCTTCTGGGTTGTTGCGCTGTGTAGTCTGGTCGATGTTAACCAACGTTTCAGAGGTTATACTGTCTCCGTTATCAGGGCGATCGGTTAACATCAACCAGACTACACAGCGCAACAACCCAGAAGACAGAAATCTTCATTTAAATTTGTCTCGCCCAGTCTAATAATGAAAGTGATTTCACTGTATCCATTATAAAAATACAAATTCATTGACAGTAGCATTGCATACTGGTACATTTGATTTCAGTTTACGTCATATCCCTTTTGTGAATTTACGGTTTTATACATGTATTACATTTATCTAAGAATAAGGCAAAAATATTTGAAAGGTAATTTTAAGGGGAAAAGTTACCATTTGAAATCACAATCCTTCTCTGTATTCTGACATGAAAAATTTAAAAGCCAGAGCTGCTGCATATTATCCACATTCTTGCATCACATTCATTTTTATTTCAAAAAGATTATAGCTGTTCTTATATTACACTATTCAGTTTTACCCTCTGTATTTTTAATGGCATTGAAGATCGCCAGTTGGAATACAAAGTCACACAAAATGTTTTGTATTTCCTCATTCTGAAAACAGCTTAATTTACTAATTCACCACGAAGAGGCACATACGATACAGAGATTCTTAAAAATATAAAGGTTAAAGAAGTTAATGAAGCTATTTTATGGTCGTGCATGTTATTTGAAGTCAAAGTTTATGTAAAGCAAACAATTTGCATTTCATGAATTTTTCATTTAAATAATTACAAATCATTCTGTATCCTCACTCTTCTCAGACTAGCTAAATGAAATATCTCACACCATATTTTGCGCTAAAGTGTCATGTCTTAAACTTTGTTTGAAAAAACATAAAAATAAGTTCAAATGAAGAACTAAAAAGGCCACAAGGAGTAGGCTACATAATGTTCCGTAAACTGACATTCACGTTTCTTCTGAACATGACTGCTGCTGTATCAATAACGACATCTCCATCAGCAAACACAAGTCTGAAATCTTGAACATCCTAGTGCAAAGACACAAGTACAAAAATAGAGTTCAGACTTTTTTTATTTTACAAAATAATGGAACCTGTGAACATGGTATCATACATATTACAACAGATGTACACTTTATATGGCTTTATTACACATAAAATTACGAACATTCTACTAAAGGGAACAGTGATATTCATTTGTACATGTGAGTAGAAAATATATATATGTATATATTTAAATCTCCCTTCTTTTTTTGGCAATATTAAATTACGAACTATTTCATAGAGTGTTACAAAGCAATACGAACGTTCCTACAGACTTGTTCCCAGATAAAATAAAATAGACGGATGAAAGAGACATATGTCTGGTAAAATACATGAAACGTAACTTTACGTCTACATGTTCATTTGAGTAAATGTGACTGGGTTTTGTCAAATGGACAAGGAACTGCATTTGCTCTCATCCCATAATTATTTTGTTTCCTACATACCCTGTTCCTCACACACCATTAATCTTCCCCTGAGTAGTTCAGTAACCAGTATAGCGGGATAATTTTATCAGCTAATTTGCTAGACAGATTTTTATGACATATTATTACTGTCGACTATTCAGCAGCAATAACAGTCCCCTGTCAATACCAGTTAAGTCGCTAATAGCAATACTTAAGCGAGGGAATTGAGTCCGCAACCAAACATTTAAAAAACAGCGTAAATAATTCTTTATTTGGAAAATGAATTCATCAATGTATTTAAAAAATAAAACAAACAAATGTTTCATGATTGCTAGTAAGTATTAAAAGTTACTGCTGCCATGTCATTGAATTATTGGGAATTCAGTCCTTGCTTAAGTTTTTGCCTCGCAAGTTTGTGCCAACTGAAGCCACATGTCGCATGTTGATTTTACACTGCCCTGCCACTGACATAAAAAAACACTCCCTGTGTAAGCTGAATGGTAAATAGTCCATACAGAAAATGGGAGTCTGTTTTTATTAAAATTTATTTACACCAATATCCAAATTTTGTCTCGTCATTCATGTCTATTATGGTACTATTCCTTAGAAAATTCATTACAAAAAATAAAAAATAACTTAAATGGTTTAGTTTGTGGTTTTTGGCTCCCATATAACATGTGTTCTGAAAAAAGTAGTGAATGTTTCTGGACTCAGTAAAATGAGAATATGAAAGTGGTGATCTCTTCTAGTTTACCCAACGAAATGACATCAGTGAAAATTAGAATGTGACGTATGTCCAAGTTTTCTGTGATTCAAGAAAATACTGCAATGTTCAGAGGTTCAGAGTAATCCTTTCTCATTAAAAGTAGATGCACACAAATGCTTTCAATTAACCTATAATCGCTTTACAAAACTGACTGCATAAATGTTTTTTTTCATATTTTCAGTAATTTTCCCCTTCCCTCCAGAAACAGCATTTTCAGACTCATTTCCTAATTTTTAATATTTCTAAAACACTTTAACAAGATCCAAACACCACACAGTCTAGCACACATCACACAACTTCCAACCATACACTTTCAAAATACCTCTTAACAACATTATGTGTTAATAATGCCCTATAGTTCATGATTCCATTTATCTGTTATTCCTATATCTATCTTCCGAATGAATTCCATTACCACAGAGTCCAAGATTGTATTTACTTTCATTGACTAGCTATTCTGTCTCTCTCTTGTTTAAAGTTGCCAAGGATGGCATACATCTTTATCATACTGGCTACTGGTAACGAACATTACTTTGGTAACCACGTACATGTCTTCTTAGCATCATAATACAGATGACAGCAATTCTCATTACATTGGTCCATAAATTTACAGCTTGTCTCTTTCATAACATCCTATATTTGGAACTTTCAGCTCTTACCAAAGTCTATCAACATGAAATAACAGACCTTGTTAGTTGATGCAGTTAAATATCAGCATCAAGTAATTGTGTAGCCTCCTATTCACCGTTTCTAAACATGCAAGACCAACAGAGGTCTTTGGGTTAATTGACCCACTCCGAGTCAACATCCCAGAAGACAGACAAGTCATCTTCATTTCAGTATCTTTTCTGCTAACAGAAATTTCAGAAACATTTTGTATTTCTATAAACACTCAATTTTATGCAACCAGTTCTACCCTCCCACCACTTGCCTTGTTTGCATCACGTCTCCTGTTACAGAATCATGCTGTATCAGTAAATCATAATACTGTGTATGCAGCTGTAGTTCAGCCTCTGTCAAAATCTTGAAATTTCACTTTTTGAAAGTTAATCCAAGGTGCAACAGTTTGTGTTATATGCACCTGGTAATAACATCAAATGATCGCGCTGTATTTAATGAATTATGTTTAAAAATTTGCTGTGAATGTATTATTTTTGTAGGGACAACTAAGGTCAACTTTCTGTGACTGCTTGCAATTTACCATTCTAAACATACAGCTGTAAGCTTAAAACATTTTAGCCTCACTAAAAGTTTACGGATCCTGGGGTCCCGGGTTCGATTCCTGGCGGTGCCCGAATTTATAACTTGTGTTGGGCAAGGCAACACAGAGTTTTCCTCCAGGGCTTCCCTGGTTTCTCTGTGGCATCCCAACAATTACTCCAGAAGAAGGCAATGGCAAACCACTTCTGTATCACCTGCCTAAAAAACATATATGAACAGGTCCCAGTCCGAGAAAAGGATGGAAGGATCCTGTTCATAATGTCGCCAACCTCCTGTAAAGGAGACGGCGTAATAAAGAAGAAGAAAAGTTTACGGATAGAATTCGTGGAGTAAACATGGAATAACTCACTTATACACTCATGTATGAGAATTAACCTCTCAGAAATAATCAAGTATGCATCTAAATTTTCTCTCTCATAACTTTAATATGTGGCTGAATGTTTGAGAAATATCCAATGTAAAACAGTGTAGAATTTTTGACAGCTATGATTCTTAGTCAGTAATAGTAATAATGCACATTCATTCGGTAGAAAATTATTTTACGCGAACATAATTTTGTGTAGGTTAGCAAGATGGTACAAAATTCTTCCACAATTAAAGATTTTAAATAAAAAATATATTTAATCTAGCCTGAAATATGACCACATTATAAAACATGTTCTGTTCTCAAGAGACCTGATACATCCAGCGATGATATTTACTCAACACACTTATCATATGATCCATGGCGGACAATCTCTTGTAACACATCCATGAGCGACGCACTATTCTCTGGCAAATAAAGTGGGAGGAGTTAATACCATGTTATTTGGTAAGACTCACAAGAATTTTGCATAAAAATTAAGAGATGTTAGAGAAATTCTGCTCTGTCGCAGACTGCCTGATCACTCAGACTTTGAAGTGATTCATGTTACTCTTATGCATCAAAACACGCCATTATGTGATGGTTATAGTTTATGGATGCAATTATAAGTTTTGTTGTTCGCCTGACACTTCTCACCCCAAAACTTTTCAGCACAACACGCCATTATGTGATGGTTATAGTTGATGGATGCAATTATAAGTTTTGCTGTTCGCCTGACACATCTCACCCCACATCTTTTCAGCATGTTTCTGGAACTTCATGTACTTTTGTGTAACAGCGAACAAAGTAAATAGGAGGCCACAGTTACCCTTATCTTTTATGATTAGTTGCCATCCTCTATGCATCACTGTCACCATAATTTTCAACCAAACACTACAGCAAGAAACAAGGTCGTGTTTGTTTAAATCCAATCTACAGTTGCATTACTTTCTGGGTCCCTGATTTATTTTCACTGGGAACAAGTCCATATAATCACTTACAATGTAATAAATCACATTTTGTCAACTGAAAACAAATGTTTTTTAATCATCAATCGCCGTCTTGCTGCTGACGAGAAATGAAATGAGACCTCGACACTTACGAACATTATACACAAAGCAACTTATAACAATTTGTCTTTTATATAGAAAATGGTATGCACCGCGATTCGGCCGACTAGCGTCCGGCTTCCAGAGTTCAAAACGTGGGAGGGCTGCGCCAATTTTGTGGCTGACCACCTGAATTACGAGCCACTAGAGAAGTCTCAGCTGCTGGTAAGTGATTATTTTTCACTTATAAAAATAAATCACAGAGTCTTTAATATTTAGTATTATGGATGTGGCCTCTGCAAGATTCAGTCTGAAATAAGTATTAGGGGTCAGGCATTTTGCTAGATCTCACCTACAAGTTTGAAACAAAAATACTGATTTTTGGATGGATAATACATACAACTAAAAGGAATGGCATTTTTTTCTCTTAAAAAATATACAGTATCCTAATCTTGACATAAGGGATCTCTTGGTATTTGTGCTGGACTCATTTTCAAGTTAAAGCTGAACTATTACCTGTAAACATATCTCGGTTCTACAGTACTGACAATAGGTACAGTTGTAGATGGTAACACTGACAGCAGGGTGGGTGAGGGGGGGTAAGTTGAAACCTACTTGCGCCTGGAACGTGTCTTGGTCTTGGTTTGCTTGGCTCGTCGGTCAGCGCAGGCACGGACATTGTTGAGCAGATACCGAAACTGCAAGATCTGCATGGCGGTGACACTGGGGTCAGAGCAACATTCAAGCCAGCGAAGGAATTTCTCTCCGTGGTTGACAGCCTCGGCTGCCGTTGCTGGTGGCTCGTCCTCCTCGTCATCGTCATCAGATTCCTCTGGTTTTCCTGGGTTTCTTATATTGTTATTGTCCTTTACATTCAACAACACACTGTCCAGGGTTGATCGGGCGTTATTGGCAACCGGTATTGAGTGGCCATTGACTTTCTGAAGTCCTGGGGTCAGAGTTTCACTTTGTACCTTTGTCTTGGTCACCTGTTGGAGGGGATCAGGATACTGGGAGAACCCATAACGCTTATACCATCGCCAGAACCAACTGCCATCGGCCACACCATTCTTGTTGAGGTCTGTAGCCTCTTTATTGCCCAACAACTGCCCAGCACTCACAGACAGTCCCACTTGCTGCTGCTGTTTTACCCAAAACCATAGGGCCTCGTCGAGTTCGGGCTGGGGTTGAGTTTGGGGTTGGGGAGTTTTGGTGTGGTTCGCTTCTGCTTCCTGGCGCGTTCGCTTCCGATCAGATGGGCCGCCATCGGTGACGTCGTCGTCTCCTCCTCCTCCACCGCCGCCGCCGCCTCCGCCTCCCACTCCCGGTTCTCCCACTCCTACGCTTTTGCTAATGTCTTTGTTGTCTGGTTCCTCCACGGAATGCTGTGACTCCGGAGTTCCACAAGAACGAGCTACGTTCCTGAGTTTGTCCTCGCTCTTGCACCATCCCCGCAACGTGGACTCCGGCACCCCGATGTCTCGGGCCACGGACGCTTTGGATTCCCCATTGTGCACTCGCTGAATGGCATCCAGTTTTTCTCTCACAGACAACTGTCGTATAGGCCTCTTGACGGAGACCATGCCCTTCGTGGCCATCGCCGGGTCGAACACCTCCTCCCGGAGAAATAACTTTCCCCTTATGAATTTTTTTGTTTGTTTTGTTTTTTAAAATTATTCTCTCGTTTCTTCTTTTATGGTACTTATGTGCGTTGATTCACAAATACTGCTGATAATTCGATAGCTCCACCCACTGTTTCGTATTGGCGCGAAACAACGACCAATCAGAGCACTTTTTACCACGCACACTTTCACTCGTAATGTAAAGTTATTAAAAACTTTCCGGCGCGGCTGAAACAAAAGTTG